CGGCGCGAGCCACGCTCGTCACATGTTGCGACTTTGATGTCGTAACATACAGGGGGTTTACTACCGCCCCAGGTCTCCTTATCAACTCTTGGTCTTCCTACCTTGTGCGACCTAGAACGTTACTCGTCATTTGGAGGACATTATTCTCAGAGCTGACCAAGATTCTTCTAGCCTTTCTCGCAATTCTGGTAGAGGTGTTAACAGTGCCCTCTTGGCTAAGTATTTTCCTCCGACCATATTTTGACGATTTGAAGTTGAGAAGCCTTGTGATGAGTATGCAGCTTTCGACCGGGAAGACTGTGCAGGCTCATACAGTCTTGTACTTGTCTTGTCTTTTTCCCTACTTGTGTTCATATGTCCGCACTTGAATACGCTATAAGGTGATCATTCATTCTCTGTGATTTAGTAAACTTTCTTCACTTGCATACTCGCAGTTACCGTGACACATCATTTTCTTCTCTCCAACATGTTCAATGAAATCCCCTCTAAAGAGGAGTTCGTTTTGTGGTACTTAAGACTCGGCAACAGATTTCGAAAACAAGAAATTGTTTTCAAGGAAAAGAGAAAAGGGCAAATCGTACGGAGTCCAGAAATCCGAGGAGCCATAGTTTCCTTTTCTATTCAACTTTCGTAGTACTCCCTTTACAACCGTCTACGATAATTTTCTGCTGCAACTTATGTATACCACTAACATATTTATGCCTGCTCTAAGACTTGAATGCGCATCGCGGAAAATTCGAGTAATATCAATAATTCGCTTGATGGGCCTCTAATTTTTCGAAAAGATCAAGGAGTTTGAGGATTGTTTGTAGTTCGCAATCAGGACTCCATGGTAAGCCCTTCTTTTCCCAATAAATTTTTCTATGCAGCTTCTGGCCGCTTACATCGCAGTACCCAGCCTACTTTCTTCCTTGCTAGGTTCTATCGTCTTACCTCAAGAACGGCGCTTTAAGCAAAAAAAGGTGTACTACTTGTCCTGTTTGCACGTGCTCTTACAGAGTACAAAAAGGGTTTTTTATTCTGGACTTGCAAGAGAATGTTCGTACGCTAAAGCTCAAGCGAAGAAGTGCGTCCTGATTGTAGTGATTTCATATATCCTTGCATCCAACTCGTGTGCATAGGCAGTAACAATACAAAGGATTTTCTTTTAATGTTAATCTCACTCAACATTTGGCCTTTTCTCGTTCAATGCCAGTCATCGCACTTCATCGTTGTCGTGACATCCCGCCTTTCCATTTCTTCCCGTAAGCAGGCAATATAAATTCGTTGTCTTTTCATTAGATCTCCAACCACAATGTGGCCCATTGAGGGTTTCCCAATGATTGTGGCTATCGAATTACCATGAGTTCCGATAGGTTCCTTTGGGTTAGCTAGCTTTCTTACCTATAAGACTGTGTACTCGTTTACTATTCACCTGTTGGGTTCGCGCGCGCCGCCTCTGGGAGAATAGGCCTTACTCAAAACTTTTTGCTCATTTGATTGGTATGGTCTTATTGGCATGGCGGGGTGCTTCTCAGCCATTCGCATGCATTCTAAAGAAAGGGTGGTGTGGCGCTGGAATTGCGAGACAGGAGTAATGACCTAAAGATGGAATTCGTGACTCCATCGAAATCAGTTTTTTGATGACGAGGTCACTAAAAACTCTAAGGCAGACTCTGCTTTAATGTTTTTGAGATTCTGATACTACAAATCGTTATTTTGCTCCAAAAGTCATGAATGTGCAATCCGTCTAAATTACAAGTGGAATGCTAAAACTTTTTGCCCTACTTACAATAAAGAAGTCCTAAAAACTCCAATTTACCCGGATAGGGCTCTATAGTATTGAGACACTTTATAACCGATTTACTCGTTTTTCTAAGATGCAGGTTCTTGTCTTCGTCGAAAGAATGCGCCAACGTGGAGCGATCTTCGCGAACTTGAAAAGCAATATCAACTGATAAAACAACGACAAAAGCAGGCAAAGGTTATTCTCAACTGTAAGTCTCGAAGCTATGAGGCAAAGGTAATGAAGAAAATGGAGTTATTTCAGCTGCTTATCTCCACGGGTTAAACGCAAATTCTGCTAAGCCGAAGGTACCTCCTCTCATTTTTCCACCTCGTTCACCACCTGTGTTCAATCACCTTTTGATGGGACCGCTGCTGGCGAAAATAGATTGCGCGTATGTTAGGCCAGCTGCCTGGTTTTATAGTCGTTGAAATGAGATTACAGAACTGAGCCTCCTGCAACCTTTTCGGGAGGAGCCGTAAAGGTAGCAGCTACAGTGATTCAGCCAGCAAATCATACAATGTCTCGGTTGCGTGAACTTCTCCGCGAGATCTCGGAGGAAAACGAAAGCGAATCAAAATACGACACTTCTTCTATCGATTCTGTGTCTCCTCAGTTTGTCAGGGAAAGGTACAGTCTTTTTCAAGTGGAATCGGTCACGTAGAACCTCGCATTGGTGCATCGAGCACTTCAAAGCGAGATTCTATGTAATCGCTAAGCATTTAAGGTTTCTGGCAAGACTGTAGAGTTAAAGCCAAAGCTCAGATTTGTACAATGTACTCTGCTAGCTACGCTTGTGCGGCTCGCGATCTCGCGCAAAGCGCGGAGCGCCACTCGCGGATGTGCGTGATTCGGTCATTGGAAACAGATCGCTAGTGTTTGAAGGCTCCGAAAATGCTTTGCTTTTTTT